TTTTGCTAAAAAACAAGTGAGGACTGGGTTCTGTTAGGTGGCTGGGAAAACTGGGTTATGATTCTTACTGAAGCAGTGTTTTCTGGGGAATAATCAGTGAGAAATTTCATGTTTATTTAAAGGATTTGAGACACTCTTTGAATTGAACACAAGGCAATCTTAAATATATAACTACTGTAGTGCCTTGAATATAAGGTTTTGTTTTGTGTTTCTCTGCAGCCTCAAGGGAGCTCTATTTGGTTTGTAGCCTGTCTCTGTTGGTGGCTATGGCAGTCTAAATGTAGTCAACTGTGCTGTCTTTCCTCCTTGAACTGCTCAGGTAGCACATTGCTGTCAGATTGCCTGTTATAGTTGCAGTGGCAGATGTTTTATTCTGTTATTTGGGGGGTTTTTTCTGTGTTAACCCTCCAATAGTTCCTGAAGCCCGGGTTTAGGAAGTATTTGGTGGCCCTTGCCTTTGCGAGGCAGTCAGTCAAGATGTATTTTGACTGATGGTTTCTCAGGAAGTCACTTTGCGTACTTGGGTTAGAAGTCATTTTGGGTATTGGCTGGGACATTTTGTAGACCAGCTTTTGCTCTGAAGTGTCTGTGTACAGATCCTTCCACCGAGATCCTCGCACAGGATTATAGGGGTAAAATTTGGCCCTTAGGATCCAGTGAATGTTTTCTGCCTGAAATGTGAAGGACAGATTCTCAGGGCATACCTAGGTTTTGTGAAGTCTGTGGCCAGCACAAGACATCACTAAATATTTTCCTTGGTAGAAGCTGCTAGCCATTCAGCTTTGTTTCAGGGAAGATTACTTGTTAAGATAAAGCTCTATACTGGGTAGGAATTTTCTATACATCCACACCACTTCATCAAGATTAACTAGATTAAAGTGGTTTAACTGAAACCAGAATTTGACCTGCAATACCAGCAGTGTGTTGATAGTACCACTTATTAAAGAACAGAGAGTCTGGAAGCATTCGGGTTTTGCAGAACGTGAGGGACTTTGTGCTGACACAGTTAAACAGCTGGCTGGTGTAACCCACTGATTCTCTGGGCAGCAATAGCTGTGAATTCACTGCTAGAAATCCAGCCTGACCCTGAACATCACATCTTGCTTAATAGGAGTGCATGTAGTTTGAGAATATTTCACTTAAACAACATGTTATTAGGAAAAGAGATCTTTGAATGTGTAAATGTTGATAGATACTGAGTGAGAGGCTGAAGCAATGTGAGATACTCTGCTGAAGCAGAGGATATGAAGCTATTTTAGCCGTGATTATGAGATTGGATGAGCTCTTGCATTCAAGTTTTGAATCTTCCTAAGAGAAATGGTGTTGGACTGGAAAACTCAGTTCTTATTTTGGGAAAGAGGAGAATCCCAAACATACCTATGTGACAATCTGTGCAGTGGAAAGCCTGCTGGTTTTTTCTCGGTTGTGCTGCACGCATCAACTGCATTTGCTGAGGGAAACTGTGAAACATTTTTTAATCTTACTGAATACAAAGATGGACCTTATTCAGTAAATGCAAGTTGAGACTGTTTGTTGGATAAATTACAAAGTAACCTCAGGAGATGCTGTTCTCTTTAAAGAGCAGTTGTGCTCCATTCACCCATTGCTGAAGAAGATTAGCACTGTCCTGTTAGTGATCTGGAGTGGTGAGCGTCATTGTTCCCTGTTCTTTGGAGAGCAATGCCGATGTGCTAGTATGATGTTGTACCTGCCTGCCTTCACGTTCCATCTGTTGAGCAATTCCCCTGGTATCTTCATGCTAATTGCAAAAGTCTCTTCTGGAAGTGGCAGATAGGTTACTAATCTGTTCAGACACTTCCTCTTCATGTATAAATACCACCTCTTGGGAATGTGTAGAGGTGTTTCCAAGACCTTCTAGCACCTCAAAACAGTTCTGAAAAAGCATTTTACGTCCTACTCCAGGTAGGAGCTCCATGCAGTTCAAGTGCATGTTGTCTGCGCGTGTCTTCAGGTATCACAAGGACTGCAGCCAATCCACAGCACCATCTGCCAGGATCAGGGCCTAACTATTAGCTAATCATTTAGCCAAGTAAAACAATAGATTAAACTTCTTAACATCTTTAGTTAAGAAGTTTTATTATTATCATGATTAATTCTACTTATATGGCACTATTAATAATCATGCCACTTTCCAGAGTATATGAATGATTGCATTCTGTTTTCATTCTTTATGGTGCTGTTTTTATTGTCATATTAACAACATTTATTCTCAAAGTTGATTTCAAAAAGTTTGTACCTGCAAAGTGTGATTTTTCAGGCTTTTATGATTGTTCACGCAGAGCTGAATAATAGCATGTAAATGGTTTTTATCTTTGCTACTTTGTGCCAAATTAGATTATTTCTGTTTAATCTTCTGTCATTAGCTTTCTGCAAAAGCAAATGCTGCAGCGTCACTGCTGAGATATGTCAGACAGGTGACCTGGAGGTGACAGGGCTTCTGAATGGATGTACGTAAGACAAACCATCTCACACAGAAGACAAACCACTTTTAAGAGTTTTTGCTGTGAGATATGATGATGATTTATGATCTGTCACCCTGAAAGTTCCTCTTGAGGACAGAAGCCACTAAAAACTCTGCAGGTCACAGATCTGGTGGTGGTATACATTTGTTATGACTGCACTGGCTCAAGTTTGCCCCAACTCCTTGCTTTTTCAGCTTATTGCATGTACAGCTGCTCTCTCTTGATTCCTAGGGCTGACTAAGTGACGTGTTCTAAGAACCACAATCAATTTAAGCGAAAAGTGTTGCTTTGGAAGGGTGTTAAATCAAGAGCAACTGTAGTGGGCAGGATGGCAAAGAGCAAGTGGGCAGCACACAGTCCCTGCTGCCCTTGCCAAGTCTGGCAGACATGGCTGTCATTGCCAACGCAATTGAGTTGCTTGTTGTGCCAGACTGCCTTCCACTTTTCTGTCCCAGAGGGATCCAAGCAGGCGTTTCATGCTCACAATTTAAATTGCTCTCATCTGACTTCAGTGGGTGTTTTTGATGCCAAGATCCGGGTGCTAGTAATAGGGAGTACCCCATCTCCTCAGCAGTCCTGCTGATGGATGCTCCACCACGCAACCCCTCTCCTCTCCAGCACAGCTGCTGCAGTTTCTGTGGAGTTCTTATGGATGGCAGGAAACCATATGCTGAAGTGTTGCTCAGCCTGCTCGTGGGGAGCTTCCTACCGTTTGGAAAATGTAAATTCAGTCCTGCCCGTCTCCACTGAATCTTTGCTTGTGTTGACTGGGAAATTCAGAGTAATATGTAATGCTTCAAAGTAATGAAGCAAGAAATTAGCAGTATGTATTTTAATTATTATTTCTACTCCATAGTAGTAATTTATGTTTAATTGTATTTTACCACTGAGATGTGCATGCTTTTCATTCTTTTTCATTACTTTTTTCTTTCTGTGTCTCTTTTCTCTATCAACTTTTAATTTACTCTGTTTGTTTGCACTTGGTAGTACTTCATGAAGGAGATAAATGTAAATACATTCATTCAGATGAACAGACTCTTCAGAAATGTATTTGGAAGATGGGGGATATGGAGATAGATGTTGGAGAATTTTCAAGAACTGCAACAAGCAACATGCCAGTGTGTTTTGCTAAAGTGACTTAAGTACAGGCTTAAAAAAAAAAAAGACTTCCTGTCTCTAGCAGTGTTCTTATCAGGCTGTTCCAGTAGCATGTTCTGAGGCTGTTTGGCTTTGTCCATTCTTGCTTTAACTTTAGCTATGACTATGAACAAGAGCTGTGAAGCAAAGGGAAGGAGGAGTTAAACACTCATCCACTTTTTGACCTTTTGCATTTCCCCAGTTCTTTACTCCTTTCATCCCCCTGAAACGGGTCCAGGTGATGGTGCTGCCCATGGGACATGCAGCATCACACCTGCCTCTTGTGGGAGATCCCCATGTGCAAGTGAAGCCCCTGAGGTTTCCCTTCTTTGCACAGCTTGAGCTGCACAAGGCAATAGCTTGAGCGAGAGAAATTACCCTTCAGCATTAACGTGGCTTTCACACTGCGGAAAACCAATCTTCTGCTCTGCTGTTGCAGAGAGGAGTTGTAGCTGTAGCCTCAGGAGGTTTCTTGGTTTTCAGGGATCTGAACACAAACCTGGTTTGAGAGAAGGGTTGGATCATAGCACTTCTGTCTGGGTCTAGTAGCCTCGCCCCTGTTAATTTTGGTTTTGATTTCTTATTTTGTAATCACACACACTGTACTACAGGCAAGCATCAGACCTTTTTTATGTAGTGACCTCCTCCATCAAGTACTGCACACAGAAGTTGGCAGGCTTTGACCCATGTTGGAGCTTGCATTGCTTTCAAGTACATTGGAAAAATGTTTATTTTCTGTAACTTTTGTAAACTTATTACTTACTCTATCTGTGCAGCTCACATTCTACTAAGCATTCTACTGGGAGAAATTATTGGAAGTAAGTATGTTTGGTTTTTTTCATGTTCCTTTTGTTCTTCAGGATACATAATGAAGAATTCTCCAGCTTTGACACTTAATTGCTTCATGGCTGTTGTTTGTCAATTTGCCAGCAGGTTTCTGCTTAACTGCCATTTGACATTGCTGAAACACAAATGCAGAATGATTGAGTTGCCAGCATATCATTGAGTCTTCTGCAAGGGGGATTTTCAGCATATTAACGCTTCAGGCTTTTACGTCAGTATTGATTGCTGAAATTGAAAAGAAACCTTTGGCAGTATTCCGCATTGTGCCAGCATGGATTTACTGGCAGGAAAAAAACCTGGCTGTTGCCATTGACTGTGACTTCATCCCTTCCTTCCTGTCTTTCTTGCATTCTTTATTCCTATACACACCCACACAGTTTTGAAATTTAATGCACATCATAGTGAAATGCCAGTTAGCCTCACAATAAATCAACACGGCAAATCAAGTACTTGATACAGTCAGATGTCAAGGCTGTTTAATTTTGCATCCACCTGCATTATGCCTGATCAGATTTCATGGCAACTGGGGAGGGGGCGATGGCAGGCGTCCCTCGGAGTGGAAGTGCAGGTCAAGGGCTGACTTGGAGGAAGGTAGTGGGGTGGTGGTCTCTGCCAAGCTACTCACAGGGCAGCCAGGTTGCCACCACGTCGGTCCCTGGATGCCCGAGTGCCATTATGGAGCTGGATACCATGGGGAGAGGAACAGCCTGATGCTGCCGGGGCCAGGCTGGGAAAGTGAGTTTCCCTCCCTGGACATAGTGATGCTGAAGATGCCAACATGGGGCTCACAGATGAGCTTAGGCTGTGGATCCACAGGGACTTAGGCTACAGAGCAGGGGATGAAGTGCATGGTGAGGGTGTAGTGTGGTGGCTCAGTGTTGTCCACTAGCTGTTGCTGTGGCAGTGCCCATGTGTGGGATGGGCAGAGCAAGAGGAAGGTGTAAGCCCTCCTGCAGTTGCTGGAGAAACATCTCTATGTGCTTTGCCTCACCAAAACCATTATCTGTCTGCTTTTCTTTAGTCTAATCTCTTAGATGACACGTTACAGTCTGTTTTAGATTAGAATATTTTGTAGGAAGTACTACTTGGGCATTCTGAAAGTGATGATGTCTGACTGAAATGCAGTTGCATGGAAGAAAGACTTGAGGGGAAATAGGATGGGGAATGGAGCAGAGATTTTGAACATAATTTGGGAAGGACATCCTCACTGGAAGGGCTTGGGGAGTTTGCATGTCAGTCAGATATTAGTCCTGGACAACTGCTTTCCCTTTGAATTGGGGAAGTCAAGTGAAGAAGAGGAGAGTGGTTAGGCTAGAATTGCCTGCACAAAGATTTGGCAAAGAGGTATATAATCACAGGATCATAGGAAGATTTCTAAGAACCACCTAACTGTTGGTGAGGAGTGACATTACAACTAGCAAACAGCAGCAGTGATTGTGTTTCTTCTGTTTCTGAAAGATGCTTAATAATCCCTCCTTACAGGTGTAGTTCAGAGAAGCTTTCTGAATCTGACTTGCTCTCATTTATGGATTAACCAAAAGTAGGAACAATAATGGGAAACTTTCAAAAATATGCTTCTTAGGGACCATTAATATAACCTGACCATGAAAAGTCCACTGAAAGCTAAACCTTTTGGCTAGAAAATATCACAAAGGAAGCTTCAGGAGTTTATTTTGTTGTGGGTTTTGTGGGTTTGTTTGTTTTGGTGTTGTTTGTTTGGTTTTGTTTTGATTCTGGTTTTTTAATTGTGCTATTAAATTTCTCTCTTTGGTCAATTTGAGCAGACACTTAAAGCCTTAGAACAGGAAAAGTAGCTTTATTTGAAGAGACTTGGAGGATACTGGTATTTCTTTACCCCTGGGCCACAGTAAATGCAAAGTTTACCTGGGATGCTCAAATCAAAATGGCCTTATGGAAAGGCTGGGAAATGTCTCAATTACAGCAATTTTTAATTAGGAGGTTATCTTTTCCACTGAATAACATGTTCATTTTAAAAATTGCCTCTACAAAGTTTTTAGTTGAAAAGCTGTGGCTCAGAATTAGAAAAGCTGTAGCTGATAATTGGAGCACTGGCTTGTGGTTTAAGTACCTTATTTGCAAATCTCTGTGTAGGACTGTTCATAGATAGTCCCATAGCTAAGCTCATGAAAAGGAACACAAGCAACTAAATTGTCCATTCCTCCATTAAGATCTCCAAATAAAATAGTGCCAGATTTCAAAAGAAAATTTGTCTTGCAGTTTGTATGTTTTGCTTAAAAGTCTGCATTTGCATCAAGGGAAGATAAAAACAGGCACCTGAATCATCTTCTAGTCAGCTCAATCAATTAACAATAAAAGCCCAGCACGTGTTGCATAATAATTTCATTGATCATGTCTGCAATCGTGTAAAATCCAGTTTCTCTTTCTTAGCACTGGGGGCTGTTGCCTTATTACACAGTAAAATGAGTCTTGGGAAGAGAAAGTGATTAAAAAGTAAAGAAAGTTATCTGACCTTGAATTGCTACAAAGATCTTGGGAATAGTAAGGCCCTGTCTAGGGTAAGTGATGAAGAGCATGCTTGCCAGGCATGTGCCTGGATCAGCAGTGGTTCAGTGCGCACCTGGCAGAAGTTTCACTCTTCCTTTGATAAAATGTCTTCTCCCAGCATGAATTAAAGTAATGAATCTTTTATTTCTAAATTACTACAAGGCTCTGTAGTCTATCAGCTTAATGTGAGTTTTTTTCTAGTTTAAAATACGTAATGCAATCTATACCTTACCTAAGGAGTTTGATGGTATTGTATGCTTAATCTTTAAAATGCTGGGGAGGGGGGCAAAGCTTTGCTGTCAAGGGAAATAACCATCCTGACAGAGACAAAAATATCAGTGGGATGCTGCCACTGATTTGGCAGAGACTGTTTCATGCTTTGTTAGCTGGCTGTTGATTTTATGGGTTTTTTTGTTATGTTTGAGGGCGCTTCCAAAATACTGGTCTTTTTAGAAGGTACGAGATATGGGTACCTTCATTCCGATACAGCAAAATTCAGAAGAATACGCAGCAAAAAGAGGAACTGTAAATTGCTAATGAGAAAAGTTAGAACTGGAGACACATGTGAATGAAATTAAATCTCCCTCCAGCCAACATGGATAGTGCTCTGAAGAGCTGTGCCTGTTTGACTTCCTCCTTCACTGTATGCTCTAGGCAAAAAGATCTGTTGCACAGGCTTTCCAAGACCTGCACAGCTACTAGAGCCTTTCCTAATAAGAACTAGTAATTTAACGTTTGTGTATGAAGGTGCATTCAAGAAACTTACTTTTTGATCAGCGTGGAGTCTGCCTGCCACAGTAACCATCTGGAGCCCAGAAGCAGGCGGAGGTAGCAGGCTGATGCTTCTCCTCCTCCTGCCAAAAGATGCAGGTGTAAGAGCATAAAACCTGCCCTACCAGAGCAGGTCCATTTAATGCACCCACTGGGACTGAAAAATGCCTCTGCTTGTGGCTTTAACAAATACCATGAAAAATCTTCTCAGCATCTTATTTTCTGGCTCTGGTAGGGAAATGCAGTGTTTCTGTTGGGCCACTCCACCTTCTCCCTGCGGAAGGTATCTGAGTGTTATTTTAGGCACAGGAATGTTATCCAGAAGTACAGGCATAACAAACACCTGGGGGAATACCAGGGGGTTTTATTAAATATAGCTTTACTTTTTCATTGTCCCTGTAGGACACCCCATTGACAACAAGAGTGCACAGCAGGAAACAGACTACTTATATGCATCTATATGCAACAGAAAACGGTGTCATTTTTGCAAATACCTCTCGGAAAAAAAAAGACTCTTATGGAAAGTTGATTTTACAGGACATCTCTAACATCTCCTATGTTATGTGCCGCTACATATTTGCATTGAGGCTTGCAAGCTGACTCTTAGTTCAAGCTAAATAAAATGAAAAATTATATAGGGTAATACAGCAGTACACCTTTTCTATTCTATTATGCATTAAAGAACTATTTTAGGACCGAAGCACCTGGTAGCTGTGTCCAACACAGTCACCCTCTGCTCTGTGGGATTCAGAAAGAAGGGGAACAAGTATTAAGGAGGGTGAAGGCTGCAGCATTTCCACCAAAACCTTATTCATGCAGGTGCAGCCTGGGTTCAATAATCTTGCACCAGGACAAAGTGAACTCTGGGAATAGTTCTTCACGATCAAGTGGCTTCAGTTAAATAGGTTTCTCTTTTCTATCATACCAAAGTATTAACTTTTTAGGCTTTGCTTTTCTCTTGTGGTGTGATTTTTTGGTAAGTTTGTGTCATTCTTTTAATGAGGGTGAAAGCCTCAGAGCTCTTTTTAGTTATAAAAGAAAGATTAGAGGCATTCTGCCTATTCCACTTTTCGACAGGGACATTAATTCATAAGCAACAGAGAACATTATAACTGTTTACAGTAGCCCTCAGCAAGCAGCATGAGACTTGGGGATTTTGAAAGAAGTAAGAGCATTTAACTACAGAATCAAAAACTAAATTAAAAGCTTCAAACTCAAAAATATTTGGAGTTGCTCAAACAAGCACAATGAAAAATTATCAACTTGCCAACTTTTAGAACCATGTGAATCTTCAAGCTTATTTTATTTTTTTTCTTTTCTGAGCTTCAGAAACCAAAGCAACCCTGAAGGTCAAAATGTCTAAAATTTTACCTTTACACATGTCAAGGTCTACTCGTTTAAACACATTGTTCTGCTTACATAGGATATTTTGCAAATTAACTGATGCTGCTTGATGGTGTATGAGATACTGCAGGTTTCAGCTGAGCTTCATGAGATGGACAGTGTCTGCTCTCATATAACACACCTTCTCAGGCTTACTATAACATACATCCTAGTTTTCCTGAGATCCAGGGTGTAGCATTATTTAGCAATCATCTTCAGTCATTGGGGTAATTTGGTCAAGGATGACCAGTTTGCTTCTAGATAAAAATGACTCTAGGAAGGCTATTGGTGCTGCCTGGAGTTTGCTTAAAGGTGTTTATTTTGTTTCCCCAGAATGTTTCTCAGCTTCCCTATGGCAAAGCCCTCTACACATATGAGGGAAAAGAGCCTGGTGACCTCAAGTTTAACAAGGGGGACATCATCATACTGCGGCGGAAGGTGGACGAGAATTGGTACCATGGGGAGCTCAATGGGAACCACGGCTTCTTCCCTGCCAGCTACATCCAATGTATCAAGCCTCTCCCACAAGCTCCACCTCAGGGCAAAGCACTTTACGACTTTGAAATAAAGGATAAAGATCAAGACAAGGATTGCCTGACCTTCACCAAGGTAGGGGAATAGGTTTTAAAAAAAGAAATTCAGAAAGGGGCTTCTGTAGGGAAAGATGGGGCACTTGTGGTGCTGGTAGCTGAGTCAGGAGCACAGTGATGCTAGGGACTGGTGGGACACCATCCTGGCCTCTCTGGAGCCCAGGGACCCCCTAAACTCTGTTTTTTTCAGTTGGTTTCTTTTATGAGAAAATGAAAGTCCTTGAGCTCAGGCAGCCTAGTGGAGACAGGCTGATGGGGCTAAATTTCCTTTATTAAGTGGGATAATGCCTCATGTAACATGCTGAAGGACACTGACTTTTTCCAACTTGTAAATCCTCCTCTTTCATGGTTTAACCTCAGCCAGCAGCCAATCCCCACACAGCCACTAACTTACTCAGATCAAGGAGAGAATTGGAAGGGTAAAAGCTGGAAAATTTATGGGTTAAGATAAATACAGTTTAATAAGGAAAGCAAAAGCCATGCACACAAGCAAAGCAAAACAAGGAATTATTTCACTTGTTCCCATGGGCAGGCAAGGTGTTCAGCACGCTCAGGAGAGCAGGGTCCCATCACTCGTAACAGTGAGCATGATGTCATATAGTATTGAATATCCCTTTTGGTCAGTTTGGGTCACCTGTCCTGGCTATGTCTCCTCCCAACTTCCCATGCACCCCCAGTCTCCTTGCCCACATGGCAGTATGAAAGGCCTTGACTCTCTGAAACCAGTGCTCAGCAGTAACAACGTCTCTATTGTCAACCCTGTGTTCAGCACAAATCCAAAACACAGCCCCACACCAGCCACTGTGAAAAAAGTAACTACCCCAGTGAAAACCAGCATATCCTCCCTGCAGAAGCAGAGCCTGCTGGGTGTCCCTGCAGTGTCCCATGCAGCAGCCGTGCTGCAGGACTGGGTAGGCGTAAAGATTCCCATCAGGGTCAGCCCTGTGTAAGCATCATTGGGAAATGACTCCCATTTTGTCTAAAGGAGAAGCCACTGAGACAGCTCGTGCCATGTATGGCAAGGCTGGTATAAAGCTAGTGAAACTAAACAAGTAGAACTGGCTACACGCTTTCTGAGAACATTTTTTCTGTCTGAGAAAAATACATTTCATCTGCATTGAAATGTTCCCCAAGAACAACTCAAATTTCAGAAAAAATCTAATGGAAATGTCTCTTTTAATGTTCCTTGTTGAATCAGATGTTCCAGTGTTTTAAAATGACATTCAGCTTCAAAATGTATATTTCATCATACAATATATCAATTAACAGTTGAAATACACTACATCAAAATATATTGCAGTATTTCCTATTTTAAGAACATAAAGAGAGTAAAAAGTAGACATTTAAAAAACAGTCTTTGTTTTTTTAAAACCAAAATGTTTAATACATTCACACTGGAATGAGAGAAAACTGAAATATTGTAATTTCCTTTGGATTTAAAATGTCACATTTTCTTTCACCCCCACCTCCCCACCTACTTTTTGCCTCCCCCTCCCTTCCCTAGCTGTTTGTGTTGACCTTAGATGGGTTTCATGGATATCAAGAAACCCACAGTAAAATAAAGCATATCCTCTATTGTTAATTTATGGCACTGAACGCCATGGAGAACCTGTTCATTGTCATTTTCTGTTTTATTTCAGCTGTCTGTGGCTGTTACAGTATCACATAAAGTAATAACAGTTATGCTGAAAATGAATATGAAATAGATGATAAAAATATCCTTCACCAGGATTTTACTGACCTCCTCTTTTGAGGCTACTTATTATAGCTGAATGAATCATTTGCAGCATATAATTTTCTCACCGAATGTAACCTCTTTTTCACTCATGCAACGTTTCTCAGCAGAATGCAATTTCCTACACTGTATACTTTCTCATATTTATTTAACAAAAGATTTGTAAGCACTTTTGCTCCATAGCAAGTGAAGTGTTTGATTGCAAACACTGCAAACCCCGCGACTAGCCAGCCTCCCTGGAGCTGTGAATCTCTGTGAAAAAGTGGGCTGCTTAGTGAGAAGTAACAGCCATGAACTAACAGAAAATTAGACAGAAGTTACCTCTGAGATCCTATCAGTAAATATAAATTTGCTGGTGCGTTGTTTTCCTTGCTGCTTGCCCAGAGGTACACTGGAGACTTCTCTGAGAATGCAATCTTCCTTGTCTGCCTAAAGTATTCATTGCATGCACAATCTAAGAAATTTAATAGGCACAGCAGGCAGTTGTGGGTTTTTTTGTTAGAACAGATCCTTTCCTAGACGCTTTTGTATTTGATATGTTTGATGCCATATATTAGTATACCTCCTTTACAATAACTGCCTTTGTATAGTGATAGTTCTCATTTTCTCAGCTGTCCAGTGTCGTTCTCGCAAGGAACATTTCTTTCTGCTGTATAACTATACTCTCAAACTCTCAATTTGCCTCATTTTCATCCCTCATGTTACTGTCTGCATCCTTTTATCCCTGATGACTGTGTTTTTCCCAAGGGGGTTAGATTTCTGTTCTATTGCTGTTTTCTTCTTTAGCTCTTTCCACTACATGCACTGTCACCTTGTAACTGTTTTTATGTCCTGCCTATTGTTCTCCCTGACAGTGAATAATCTGTTTTTCGTCTTGAGACTTTACCGTCATGTTTTCATCAGTTTTCTCAATGCTAATTTTAGCTGTCACCTGTGCTGATGAAGGTTCCTGTTTAGCCCAGATTATAGATCATCTGCTGATGCAGTCAGTTCCTCTGCATAGAGTCTTGTGTGCTGCAGTGCTGGAGATGTGATTTGTCACTTTGGGCAATATGCATCATTTGAATGTCTCAGTTTGCATCTGAAGATGCTGGACCTGATCTCAACTTCATTTAAGCTATTTTTTCCTTCCTCTGGAAGAGGGGTTGGTTTGGCATACCATTTATACAAACTAGTATAACCTATTTGTGCCCTGCAACTCATTTAATGCTGCCAGACACTTGTAATTGGATTTTATTTATAAACAGATAATAAAGTTTTCCTCTAAAGAAAAGCTATAAGAAGGAAACACAAACATAGGGATCTTCTCTATCCTTGTGTTTTGTTGCTCTTTTGCTGGGCTTTGCTTTTTCCCATCCTCTTTGTTATTGTACACTCAGAATACCTATTGGTGCAGTAAAAGAAAACAAAGGAAGGATATTTGGTGTTTCTTCTTACTAGTTTGTTTTATTTTGTTTTATTTTTCAAAATTCAAATGATCTGTTGTTCCAGAGGTGTATTGCAAGGAAATGAAGTCTTCTTACAGATCTTCATGAGCAGTGCTGCAGAGGGCTTCTACCATTTACCCATTTTCATCTCCTGTAGACACTCTCCAGATTAAAGGCCAAAGATAACCCAAATATAATAATTTTGTATGTGTTAGAATAAAACCAGGAGGGGCAGAGAAAAATCTGTCTTAAGTATCCAGTGCAACAAACAAAGCTCACGCCTGTGATTCTCTTACACCATTTGGACTGCTCCCTCAGCTCATCCTCCCAAATAAACCACACATGCAGGCATAGGGTTCCGCCACTGTTCTCTCCTCTACAAGATGATAGCACATCTCAGATTTGCTACTTAACATATTTTCCATCAGTGCTTGTCAGTGATCAGTCAAACCAGGCAGTTAGCAGTTATTTTTTCTCTGTAACAACTGTTTTCAGCCTCGTGTCGGCTTTGCACCAGTTTAACTCTAGTAGCTTCAGGAGTTTTACTCCTAATATTCCCTATGTGGTTGCAATTAGCATGTGGCCTACAGAGCCTAATTTCATGCCCTTGGGATATACTTATTGACTCAGCTTTCTAATCTTACCTTACATGCTACACAGTATGGGCTTAGGCTCCTGCTCTCTCTGTTTTAAAAAATACTCCATCCTCCTTTGGGCTATGCACTCTCTGGTACAAACATGTGCAAGAGGATTCTTTCAGGTACAGCAGTGCAAATCTGTAGTAATTGCATTGTTGTTGGTTTGTGTAGTTACACCACCCTTAGACTGAGTCCAGTTTCAGCCCACAGGTTTGTTTAGGTGTTTGACCACCCATTGCATGCGTGAGTTCACATGGCCTCTAGAAGGCTGAATCCCAGTGGTAGATGAGTCTCAGACACGTCAAGGTAGCAACAACTGTTCACCATGCATTATTGCTCATCACATTTTTAACGACATCAGCTATTTCCTTCATTTTCCAACAGTTTTGTTCCCAGGCCACAGTGGTGTTTAACAAGTGCTGTGCCAATCTTAAAACCATGACATCCAGTACCGGTTCCTGGCTGTGGAGCAGCATCCCAGCCCCTTAGCACTCAGTTCAAGCAATATTTGCTGTTCACAGAGAGACCATCCCGGCAATAGCTGGTGACAGGGATTCTCATGCCAGCTGGCAAGCGCTGTAACTGGACTCATTGAGCATGGCACAGTGCCATCCTGCCATCATTGAGATCTCCCCTGTGCTCTAGATGGAGTAGTTATCTCTGCAGAATAGCAGACACATCTGCTTTGTATTGCTTCGTTAATGGCCATCAATGACTAGAGTAAAAATCAGACTGTGAATCAGGACTGTTATTGGACACTTTTTGTGCTGTTTTCTCAGCAAAAAGATTCATTTCTCTGGCAATCAGACTGCTTTTTAAGTGATTTATCTTTGACTTCTTTTCTGATAATGATTATAAACTGAAACTGCAGGTCCCACATGCCTGTTGCAAGGCTGACCCAGCCCTGATGAATAGAGAGAAACTCAAGGAAGTAGGAGAGAGCAAATAATTAAAGACTTTAGCAACAGGCATAAAAAGAGCGCAACATATCTTTGTCCAAACTACAGTGAATACCATTTGCTTTTGAAATGAGATTTGAGGCTTGGATTCCTTTATGCTGCCTGGAAATCAATTTAGTCAATGTGAAATAGTGAAGTTCAGAAAGTCGAAGTGGTATGCCAAGAGATCTATGGCTTTTTACTATTCATGATCCTTTTGGGAATCTTTCTAGGAATTTATAAGTAGCACAGCTATCCAACTAGTACAAGGTACTAAAATAGTTCATGTTGAGGCTTTCACCAGCCCACTGTATAGAATGGTGTTGTTGGCTGTGAATTCAAAGAAACTTGCTATTAATAAAGAATTCCAAAGGATTTTTCGGGATTTGCTGTAATTCCTGGAGATTTTCAACACCCTTCTGAAAACTAATTATGTCATGGAATTCTCAAGGATTGCACTTTGCTCTCCCACAAAGATACACCTTTTGAATGTTAGCATATCTCAGGATACTTTTCTCATATATGACCACATTCAACAGCCATACCTGGCAGAACCAAACTAAGATCAGTGTATGGAAATGCTTCCAGATTTCATAGATTCTTAGCAGGTAAAGTTGAAAGGGACCTTTGAAGGTTACCCATTCCACATGAGTAGAGTCAATGCAGGATAAGCCTTTCCTGCCAGGTATCTGTACAGCCTGCTCCAGGGATGGCATTGCACAGTGTCTCTAACAAAATCTAATAAAATGTTTCTGGGGTTTTACAGTTTAAAATTTTTTTCTGAATTTCTTATGTGTGTGTATATATGCAAATATCTATATACACACATACATTTATACTCAGTGTTGGGTAAAGGGTTGGACTCGATCTTAGAGGTCTTTTCCCACCTGAACAATCTATGATTCTATTCATAAGCTGTGTATGCACTTACGCACATTATGTGTGTACACATAAACATATAGTGAAAATGTAGACCCGTCACATCTTGGATTTTTAAAAATTCCTTTAAGGAAATAACTGAATAAACACAGAAAGTAGGAACACTCATAGCAGGTTCTTGAAGTGATGCAGTCGCTTCTTTTCCTCATATACCCCCTTTACCTAGATTCTACATTTATGGTAATCAGTCTTTAGTAAGAGCATGTGGAAGCTTTGCAGATTACTGTCAGTTCTTTACACAGATCAAAAATGGTCTGTGCAGACAGGGCTTTGGAAGGGAATGCTATCTGTTTCTTCAGGAAATTAAATGCACAAATTCTTTTGCAACCTTCCAGCTGTAATAAATAGCTGAAGGACTCAGTCTGTGGCCATTTCTCTGAGCTTTCCCCTAATGGATCATTCAGATGAATAATTCAAAGGAAACATTTAAGCTATTTCAGAGTGCACATGTTCAAAATGCACATGTTCAAAAACTACAAAACACATCACATCACCCTGTTCTGGTTATTTTTCTATCAGTGCAAATCCACAGTCTGAACATCCTGGATCAGGAGTTTGTGGAGTTTTTTTCTACGTGAGAAGTATCTGCAAAAAAACAACTCCCCTTGCCTAGTCATTTAACATCAGCATCTTGTTACATGGAGGGTGGTAGACCATATCTAACTCTTACTTTCACAGAGCGAGTAGTGGAAATAAAGAGAGATCGACAGGGAACTCTGTCTCAGCTTTCTGGAGGAAAAGATTTTCTTCTATTTTTGTAAATTTCTGCACAGGAGCAGAAGAAGATTGTGTGCCATGAGAGAATGAAGATGACTTCCCAGCTTCTCTCAGCTCACTCCTTTCTTTGTTGTAGATCTGTCTATCCAGGCAGAGCCCCACAGAGAGGGCTGCCTTCTACAGCCGTTGTACCAAGCAGTGTTGGCTCAAGCCTGGGTTTAGTATGAGGACCCCAACAGACAAGAGGTGACAGCAGAAATCCATTGGCAAGCTGAGTAGCTCTGCTTGGGAAAATTCAGGGTTTGGTTCTAGTCACTTGAGCTTTCCTGATGACTGGTGTGTTCTAGGTTTTAACTATACCAAGAGAAAGTGTGAGCAGTATGAATCTGATTTGCACTGCTATACCTCCTGTTTTATAATCAGAAAAAATTTCATCAGCAGCTGAAATTCTTGTAAGGTCCCTTTGATTAAATATAATACTAACATGCCATTAGTTTTATCAAATGAACTTGTGTCTAAACTGAAGCTGATCCAACAGTTGAATGCAATTTCTTATTTAGTATGTTGTCTTTGGATTTTTACCTGCTTTGCACTTTTACCTTCAAATTTATTTTTTTTTTTTAAAGAAAGCTGACATTCAGCTTGTCAGCAGTGTAGGCTAGTTGCTGAGTACCTCATACTATACCTTATGCTTCTTCTTGGAAGTTTTTCCAGGACTACCTGTGCTGTACTCATGCTTCCCTTTACATTGTCTTCTGGAGCAGCCAAGCATTACAACAGACCCTTGGATACACAGGGGCAACTTCATGCTAGGGATTTTTCACCTTTGAGTTAGAGGTGATCTCCTGGATCAAACATTCTTCTCTCCCTGTAGTGAAGCCAAGAGTTTACCTGTTCCCACCTGCTGTGGCCAGACTCTTGGAGCTGCTGACAGCCAGCATGAGCTACACTGGTCTGCAGCATGCTTAAATGCACTTTGAATGGGATGCCTGGGGTAAGATACTGGGCCAGGAATGCTGCTGGCCCAGGATTCAGGGAACATTTTTACCTGACTTATTACATCCTCTGTGTAGTCTCTCTGTAAGATGTCATGTGCATAACTAAAAATTGGTATCTTTCTTCTGAAAAAATCTGATTATGTATTTTTTTGTATCTCAATTTGAGGATGAAATTTTGACGGTCATCAGGAGAGTGGATGACAACTGGGCAGAAGGAATGCTGGGTGACAAGATTGGCATTTTCCCTATCCTCTATGTTGAGGTAAGTTCATAGTGGGTTGATGGATGCTGGTCTTGATGTCTGGTGGGGGTGTTGTGCCTACAAGGTCAGGATAACCTCAAAAATTCTGAAATGAGAAGGTTAAATTACAACAGAATAACTGAAAAGGGATTTTTTTGGTTACTGTGTGCTAAGGCACTAGGAGGGCACATCCAATTCAAAGTGGCCAGCAAAATATGTTCCCTGAACTACTTTAAAGCCTTCCCATGTAGCATTTCTGATGTAATCTCCACAACACGTAGGGAAAATGGAAGAGGATGATTGCAGTTGGGGTACCTTGCACCCGCCTGAGGAGAGGTGGATGTTGCCAGCTGATGGGGAGCAGCAGTGCAGGTTCAGCGTGGTCTGACAGCACAGACCTTCAGAGGGGTGCTGTCGATGTCCCTGACCCCAGCAGGAGCTCAGGCAGCTCCACCCATATGCCCAAGGGCTCTCATTCCATGTGTACCAGACCTAGTTCTGTCCTGAACTCTTTCCTATGGTAATTTCCATAGGAGTCTGATTTCAGAGTAAATGATGAGGCTTCACTTTCTCTGAACAAACCTATTGTGCCACCTCATCCTACTGCTGCCACCCTCCTGCTGGGGGTGCCCTTCCAGCCAGATACTGCTTGGGAGCAGGGCTGCAGCCAGCAGTGGTGGCCCATGGTGGCCCTTCTGGTGCAACTCTGTTGTCCATGTCCCAGATGATGTCTTCAAGGAGCTTTTCTTCTTCGTGGGTGAACCAGGGGTGCAGAGAACAGATGAGCACCGTATGCATATGTATTTTTCCAAGGTGCTGCCACTCTGCACCCAGTACTCGGAGCAGTGTCCCTGTAACTCTGCTCCCAGACATTGTCTGGTGCCGCTCTCTGGAGTGAAGCATCTTTTGTGCCCACAGCAGAGCCTGCTCTACTTGATATGGCTCTGGTGCCTGCCTCCAAAATTACTTCTCCAGATTTCTTAGTTAATGATTTGAAACAAAATAGAGATAATTAGTGCCTGACTACCTAATTATTAACTCCGACAATGACCAATTTGGAATAAACCATCATTAATATACATTGCATTCCCACAGTTGACAAGGACAATAATATTAAAACCAGAATGTGTAGGAGCCGTTATTGGCAAACCAGCTGCCTCGCATAAGTTAATGACTTGTTTTCTTCTATTCTGAATGCGTAACACATTTTCAGTTTGTTGTGATTAAATGAGAAAGCTGGGTTTCTCCCAGAATTCATTCTTTTTCCCTTCTTTTTCTTGTCCTGGGGAAGTGTGATGTTACTGTCCTGAACTTTGCTGCAGAAAGAGTGAACTGGGGACCTCTGCACAGTGAGCACCGTTACACCCACCACCTTTCCCCAGCCCTAGTTTCATCTGCAGGCTGGCACTGCCTACGCACTATTCAGCATACTGATCCCTCTCCCACTCCTAGGTGTCTGTTCTCCTCAATTACTGCTCTCATAGGGCTCATAACCTCAGAAGAACAACCCATTGGGAACATGCACAATGTGTCACTGAAGTTCTCCAAGCACTAGCACATCCTGAGCTGTTGTGGAGGAGCAGGAGGTAGCATGATGCAGAGTCAGAATGGCAATGCTGGAAGTTTCTAAAGAGAGGCAAACAGCCAGGTAATCAGCACCAGGGGAGAAGAATGCACGTAGGAATGTCTGTGTGCATATACATTCATACACAGACACACACATAGATAAAATAAATACAACTATATACACTTACACATATATTCGTGTGTATACACACACACACACACACACACACATATATTTTATCTGTATAAATTTGAAATCTGGTGGCTTGAAAGGCCCTTTCAAATTAGGTATTTGGGTGCCATGACACAATATTTGTGCATTGGTTTGTAAAGCCAAAGGAAAATGATCCTCCCAACAGCAATATCATACACCTATTTCATTCACATGCTGGTGGATGGAGGCCTTGTTCTAAATATGAGATGAGCTTATGCAAGTGTTGGAGTTATACAATTATTGTGCTGTTGCCAGCTTCAGATGCTACTTTACATTAGAAATTAAAAGGAATCAGGTCGAATCCCAAAGAAATTTTGAAAAGCTCAATGCTGATATTTATAAAACACATCCATTAAACAAGTAGTACTTGAATCTAAAAACACCCCTCGAGTCTATCCAAGTCCATTAAGTGGTTTTCAAAATCTTGGCAAAATGTGCAGAATAAGCAAAAATTAGCTCTTACAGTAGCCTTCCACTTGTGTGAGCCGATTGGCTGAAGTGTGTGGGCTTTCACATGGCATCCTAAGCCCTGCACCCTGGATAGAGTGAATTCCAGCTTGGCAGGCTCTGATGTCTCCAGTTGCTCCCAGAACCCAGACGAGGGCTCTTACCCTTGGTGCAGCAGCCAGAGTATTAGAAGACAAGCCGGTCACTTCAAGGATGCCAGGGCTACAACAGTGAATATAATCCTTGTTGTGGCCCCCTTTGGTAACACTTTGTCCTGGCAATGTGCTGCCATACCCCTCAAATGGGTGCTTGCACAGAAGGCTTTTGCAGGTGCTTACAAATCTCTTGCACAAATAAGACACAGCAGGGTGGTGAGGAGGGGTGATCAGCAAATTCCTCTCGAGGATGCCACTGGCCTCCGAGCACTTGGGCATGTCAGCTGGCCCATGTGAAAGCCTGCAGTGTCTCCCTAGGCTCCATCTTTTTCCCACCTTGCACTTACTGAATTTGAGAGTGGTCTGCTTCTGTAAGGGAAGCCTGGGAGGACAGCTTTTAGAGCCAGACTGTGGTGTCAGAAAGCAGAGGCACAAAAAAATATCCAAAGATATCAAAATATATCTGGTCCCTGCAGTGTGTTAGGAATTCTCTCTCTCAGCATTATGTTTGGTTGTCTGTATAGCCATATGAGTGTAACATGGCATGGATCTTACACTTTATTCCCTACAAGTGTTCAGCAGGAGTGCTTGCATGCCTGCTGAGTGGCTTTTTCCTGCCTCTGTCCCAACCTCAGAGAAGCTGCAGTTGGATAAGGAATAAATATTTGCAGCTCACAATGATGTCTTTTATAGCGTCAGTCACACACAATATGTTCTGTCAGGGAGAGTTTGCACTATTGTTTTTTCTTATTTTGTTGCTATCCTTCGTCTTCAGTAGAAGCCATTTGGGTGATAATTTATGTTTTAATTTGTCTACAGAAAAAACACAACATAATCAAATTAATTCTCAAGGTGCCTTCTGTCCTGAAATAAACATCTTATTAATAATTTGTATGGTTTGAAGTCGTATTCTTGCTGGGAGGAGTTTTGGACCTGCAAGGAATTCTAAGTCCTAACAAAATGTTTTTTATTTTACTGTCTTCAAGCTAGCTACTTCATTCTTAGTAACTGCTGTCATTCTCTCTGTTTGAAAGTTGTGTTCTGCTGCTATGTGTAAAATTGAGAATAATGGAGAATAAAGTGTGTTCTAATAGATTTAAATGTGTGGGAATGAGGGCAATAGTGTGCTGAGTATTTGGAGGGACACATCCTGCTCAGATGGGCAGGAACTGGAAATTCAAAAAGCTGAGCAGTTAGAGCAAAATTTCTATCTTCAGCCCCCAGAGCAAGGAAATATTGACCGAGATCAAGAAGCCTTATGTGTCAGTGGTAGAGCAAGGCAATTATGTTGAGCGCTACTGTGACTGTAATATCTGCAAATTACAATTGATGAAGTGCCAGCCCATTGTTATAATGTTTTATGGCAGCAGGAGCACTGAAAGCTGTGATTAAGTAATATTAGGAGTTTTAAAATTCTTTTTACAGAGCAGTGAAGCAGGGTAATGGGAATCTTCTCCTGTTCTTCACAGTCAAAAAAAAAAATGGGAAAGGAGGTCTAGGAGAAAGAGGGAGGAGGAGAATGGGAAGAGCTGATGGTTTCAGTGCCCTGCAGCATAGGTCCAGAAGACTCCTCTGGGAAAATAATTCTTGCAAGTCAGTTTTTAAAAAGAGTTCAGCCAGAAGTGAAAAAAAATAAAATCCAAAGCCAAATTCATTTCTTAAGGTAAACAATGATTTTTCATTCCAAAATTAGCTTTGCAGAGCAGACCATCCCATTTAACGGTTTTGTGCTGTACCACAGGATCTAAAACAGCTTAACCCTTACAGGGGAACCTGAGCACATTTACCAGGATCCCAGCCATAATTGTTGAATAGTGTCATGGAGACCCATCTTCCCAGTAAAATTTGTCCTTAACTGTGTAACTGCACTTTGCTGAGGGTATCCTTTTGCCAGCCTGCAGATGAATGTGAATGGTTTAGACTTTCAGTCTGGATGGCAGATTTTGTCCTTTTTTTCTTTATATGCAGATTCCCATCTTAGCCATTTCCCAGTATGCTGGTGTCCCCAGTGGCAGTCATCACACATCCTTGAAAACTCAGATGTGTTCAAGTGTACATTTCTACCTCTAATAGATATTTTGACCATTTTCAGCAAATAACTGTTGCCCTGTCCGCTTCTTGTATGTATTTTCGCTCTCCTCGGTCTGTTTGGTTTCTACCTTCAGCTGCAGGACAGATGGGTCCCTATGGGACTCTTATAATGAATTCAACCTTGATGTCTGACCTGTAATTTATGTATGTGTGGTCTCTGTGAATCTTTCAGAGTATCTTTTATGAAAACCTTCAAAAAAAATATCGAGCATTAGACATTTATTAAATAGTAATGTTTGTTTGGTACCCTTCTCAAAAAGAACATGTAATCTCTGTTCTTAAGGACTGTCAAAATGGTTCATTTTAACCTTGCTAGTATCATTTAATGAGAATAAAAATGGATGCTTTTGAAAGGTGGGTAGATGGAAACTAATGTAGATGATTTTAGAAAAGGTGGCTTACTAAATCTCAGAGGAGCAAATTCATCTCAGTAGTAAGTAGGTGTAACACTAATGAGGTAAGAATTATACCCATTAACATCACAATTGGGGTTTTTTTCTGTCTTCTCTCCTTTTGTGAATCAGATAAAAATGGAAAAAGAACCTTGT